CACTTACTGATATTGATGACAAAATCAAGATTGAGTTGAAATTGGATTTGCTAAATTTCTTATTTTTATGGTCAAGATTTCGGTAACGAAACCAGAGTAGTTAAAGTATAAGTGAATTCATTTTTTGTAATTTAATTATGTCTGCGCACACTGCGAGTTTCCACCATTAGACATAGAACACTCTGCGTATTAACCATTAAAAGTTGCTTCCAAAAGCAATTTAGCAATTTTTCACTAAACTGCAGCGACATATAATTACTTGAAATGAAAAAAATGCGGTAAATTACGTTGCTACATTTATACACATATGATGAATCACTTTAGACCGCCGGGGAAAATAATTTGGTCCGGATGTGTCCCAGCTTAAACTTACACTGAACTGCTTTCGAGCGAAGAGCCTCTGAAGGTGCAAGCTACTCGTGCTTGCGAAACGTCAAGAAAAAATGTTTATCTACAGCGGCCTAAAAAGCCCGAAAAGCTCTCAAATTTCAAGCAATGGCCGCGACACTGGTATTATTTTGATAAATACGATTTTTTTTTAGTATTTCATGCTGCAAACAATATGGTTTGAAATATGTAATATGAGCAACACCCTATCCCGGGGTGATTTTCGGAAAAAATGGATCAACAAACGTTGCGTAAATATTCCATATATGTAAATTCGTAAAAATATTCATTTTTTATATACATATTTCTGCTATATTATACTGCAGTATTTTACATTTAACAATTTACATAAATAGCTGTTTAAAAAAGTATGTACCTAAAACAATTGGATAGTGTTTTCACAATTAGTTTTCATTAAATACAGAATTTACGTACAAAAGATAAACCTTCACTATAGGAAGAAGCAGACGGAAATACCCTAAGGCAATATTTGAATAAAAAATACTCCAGAAACAGTATAAGTACAAAAATATATTCTGTAAGTTGTGCAAGTTAGTGATATTCTGGCACAATTTGGCTCCAATATTTATAAAATAATTGAAAAATATTATGCAGGATGTTCCTCGTATTCTCATGTAAAGGTTCCAGATAGCACAAAATATTACGTAAATATTTACCAAATATTTATACGTTTGGTAAATATTTCATAGCAAATAGAAAAATTTTTAAAATATT